AAGTTCAATACACTACATACCAATTTTTTTCTGATGTTTGAAATAGATAAAAATATTTATGTGAAAACTTTTCAAATAAATGGATTTACCTACCAAAACCCACTCTACCTTTCATGTACTGGTCTCTATGTTTTTCTAGCCCTCTTATAAACTCTTGTCAGGGATCCTAACATTCAGGGTCACTAAGAACACTGCTACTTTTTAAAAATATGATAATGTCATCTGAGTCCTGAAATGAATTGATCTCTAGTAATTAATTTTGTACCTTTAGGTTTAGAGTGTTCTTATAATTTATTTCTTGCCCTACCTAACCCTATCCTGATCATGGGCTATGCTGTCATGTTAATTCCCCCAGCTCTCCAATGTTGCCCTCTGCTTGTAGTTTAGAGCCTCTCATAAATGTCCCTTTGTAGAATAGGCTTTGCCAGCAGTCCTGGGTTCATATTATGGCATCTCCACTCAGTAACCATGGGGCATCGGGAAAGTTACTTGATTTATCAAGGGTCTCAGCATTCTTGCCCATAGCTGGAGACAACAATACTCTCTTCTTCCCAAGGCCGTCAGAATTTAATATGACTGTGCATAATTACTTAGCATGGTGCCTGGTACCTAGTAAGTACTTGTTGATATGTCAACATCATGTTTAGGGCCTGAGAACTTTGGGATTTTACCTATTTAAAGGCTTCTTTAGGGATGAGCTCATGTTCAAGTCTGTCTTCTCCCCTGGGATAGAAGCTCTATGAAAGCAAAATCTGGATCCAACTTATTAACCATTGCATTCCCAGGCTTGACAAATCCCTTAGCATTGTGTTAAAGATACATTTACTGAGTGAATGAGAAGATAACTGAGTAAATGAATGAAAGAAATGATTGAATGGAAGCTCATGCCATGCCTAAGGAGACCACCAGAAAGACACTGTCCTTAGGTTTAGGTGCGAAAGTAAGGAGGCAAGGAGGCTTATAAAAGACATCCTGAGACCCTATGTATCTCAGTTTTGACCTTCGATGTCCCCAGTTTGGAGTTTCAGTGGGGATTTCTCTAAAGATGGGAGTGGGATACTGAGGTCTTCAGACGATTGAAAGATGTGCACTGATGTTTCAAGGATAGAACACTGTAATTTGGTGTGAAAGAAAGTATTTTGGCAAGTCTCAGAAAAAAAGCCACACAGTAACTAGAAGCAAAAATAATGCCGTACCCACATTTGCCCAGAAGTCACAAGCTAAAAGATATACTTAGCACAGACAGACATGCCTCACATGTCTGTCTCATCTACGTGAACTTGACATAGTTAGCCAGGCCGTTTCCAAATGCACACAATGCTGATATCATATTTCTAATTTAAAAGAAAAAAAAATGCACTATCTGGTTTTAATTCCCATAACACAAATAAATCTTTTTCTAGTCACCAGAAGAAACGCTGAAGTCTACTGATATTCCTTTATAACAAAGGTGAATAGGGGAGACAAAAAAGAGGAGTGAATGGTAGAATCTAAAGAAACTTACAACACATGTGGCAATATTTTATAATTCTACATACTTTGTACTGCATCTTGTCCTTAGGAGGTGCTTGATAAATGGACTTAATAAACTAATTAATGTGAAGAGAGGGCAGAAAAGATTTATAAAACAGAAAAAGAGATAGTGCAGGTAGAGCAAATAAGTAAACTAACATAAAGAATGGAAGAGGAAGATGGAAAGACGATAGAAAGAATGCAGAAAGGGAGAAAGGGAAAGAGAGAACTGCTGAAATGGGGAGAGAAATGTATGTGCATAGCGCACAGTGTGTGAATGTCTGTGTCACAGAGGCAAGGAGGGGTTGAAATTAAAACTTGTAAACAGGGCTTGAAAAGATAAAACTGGTAGGAAAGTTGAAGGCTGTAAGAAAGCAGAAGCAATTGTGGGAAGGATTTGGAGTTTGTTCATTGTCCTAACTCTTTCAAATGTTCATCTTGCATCACCCTCTTGGTCCTTCCATTTGGCCGCTATTTGTATGTTGTATTTAATTTATTTCTCCTTAATCCCTCTATTCATTCTTCAGATGCTTTCTTGGAAACAGATCATCATATTTTCATAAGGCTAAAACCATAAAACGTCATATTGCCTTGAACTTTAAGGTTGATTGAAATTCGACCCAAGATTTAAGAATGAAAGAGTAAATTTAGCATGAACTTGGTTCTTAGCCCAGAATTGTACCAGTCTGATGCATTTAACATTACATATTCTCTGAGAAGTGACCACAGTTAAAGTACAAATGATGGAAAAGAGAGATCTGTGTTGCCTTTATTTGCAGAAACAATTATACATTAGAAATTTGGTGAGTTACCTATGTTGTGTGAAGCAAAATCAGGCCACATCTAGTAAGTAATCACTTTTCCTACAGTTTAAAAATAAATTTTAGGAAGTGTTCAAAGAGACTGTGTACCTATAAGCAAACCCTTTAACCTTTCAGGATACCCCATCTGTAAAAAGAAATTGCGTCTGATGAAGAAACGCTTTCTTGCTTTAGCCTCAGGAACATGACTCGCGCTCGTTTAAATTTGGAGCTTCTGTGTTAAATTGTGTTTGGAGAAAGGATTTTGACATAAAGGATTTTGACATAAAGGCGTTAACAAACCACCACACCGTATAGTCCATCTCCCAGCTACCCACCCTCCAGGGGCGAACACCCAGCACTCCAGCTCTGCCCTACAAGGCCCCATCGAAAAGCTTTCTTCTCCCCTTATCATTTCCCAGTCTTTTCCTTCACTCTCCCATGTCTCTCTGGGGCCTGATACTGATCCTGCCCCCACTCTCTGGCACTTGGGACCATTTATTCATTTATTCAGTGAGTATTTATTGAGCAGCTACTATGTGCCAGGCATTCTCCTAGAAACCAGCTATCCATCAAGGAGCAAAACAAAGATCCTTGCGCAGTTCTCAGTGCAGCAGTTAGAGATGGACGATAAATAGTAAACTTAGAAAATAAGAAAGTTATAGAGTATGTCAGATGGTGATAAATGCTATGAGAAGAAGAAAAAGTCAAGCAGAGCAGGGGATTGAGAGACAAAGAGTCGTGTTAAGAGGGAGAATTCTTGGCCCTATTTCTATGGTTCCACACAAGAAATCTACCTAGTCCAGCCTGGCCTTTTACATGCTATCCTATGGTCAGAGTTCTTAGAGGGTGCAATACAGACTGTTAGCCTTCAATAAACATCCATACTTGTTATTCCTCAGGCCCCCTTGCAGTCACATCAGGTCCATGTGGCTCATGCTGGCCAATGAAATGTGAGAGAAAGAAGTAGGTAAAAGTAGGTAAAAGAGAAAAGTCTCTTTCATCTCATCCTTACTGTGATGTGCGGGCCTTACAGGCCATTAGCCGAGGCACCATGGCTACAAGATGGAGAAGGCCACCCGCCTGCATCAGAACATGACATGAGCAAGAAATAAAGTTTTGCTCTTTATGCCACTAAGGTTTCACAATTGTCTGTAACTGAATCATAGTGTAGGCTATCTGTGCCAATATCCATGAAAGAAAGTGAACAGGGTAATTATAACAATCATATTCTGCTTTTTGATGGTAAAGAAAACTAAAAATCAAGAATTTTTACCTCCTCATGGATTGACAGAGATATACAGCTGCAATTCCAGCAGGAAAGAAATGAGTAATGGTGAATTGTATTTACATTGCCCTGTTAGGGCTCCATAAATATTCTATGAGGTATTTTAAGCAAGTATTTTACTTCATGAACACAATTTACTTTTCTTGGATTCACATAACAGTAAAATTTCATTGAAAAAATTACTTAGTAGAAAATGAGTAATTTGTTTTAATCTAATCAAAATATTTCTTGGGCCATTCAAAGTTTCCTGGCTATTCCCCTGACTTAAATCTCAAACTGGAGGAATATTCTTTTCTATAAACATTTGCTATAACAGCACTCTTTTAAGAGAGATTAAAATATCAACAGAATGCAGATGAAGTTTACAAGTAAATGCAAAGCACAGGCAACATAAACTGTAAGCTGTGCATTGGAGAAACTTTATAATGTAAATTTACCTGTGCTTTAACTCATGGCATCACGCTAAGACCCTTGTCCAGATTTTCCTTTAGTGGACTCCAAAGAAAACATTTGGGAAATAGTCTCAAACTCATAAAGATTCGTTAACAAATAAAGCCAAACCGTATGTAAACATTCATATTCAAAGCCAGGCATACAAATGGGTAAAGCAAGAGACGACTGAGGGATGGCAGGAAGGTCCCAGAGACCTTCCCACAGCCTATCATGGTGCCTACTGTCCTACCATTAATGACACTTTCCTTGAACTCTTGAAGGTTTTTGTTTTTCCATGAAAGCTTTAACAGAAAACAAAACAAAAAACATGACATAGGTGGAATAGAACAGGCAGGGGAGAATCCATGCTGGGGAGCAGGGGACCAGGTGCAATAGTGTGAACACAATAATAAAAAAAGCCATGGTTTAAAATAGACAACAGCTGACCGACTGATTAATACGTCAGAATATTCTTTTTAAACACCTACTATCTTTAAGACATATACCCGGCACTATGAAAGATACAGAAATAGATGAGGTAGGATTTCTGTTTTCACAAGTTTACAGTCTAGCATTTGGTCTGGTTAAGGAGTCAGAGAATGGAGGGATGGTTAGGCCTAGGGCTAGAAATAAAATTGCGTCCTGTATTCATCCTCAGCAAGTCTGCATAGGGCTCCCGGGAGGCCAGGGTAAGGCAAGTGAGGGTACTGTGGGACTAGAGGGAACATGATCTAGAGAAGAATAAGGATGAAATAAATGATGAACTGATAAAGCCATCATCCCTTGGTAAACACTTTTACTCATTAGCGTGAGAAGAGAATACAGACTTTGATGCCTGGAAAACTTTACGTTCTTACACCAAATTTAAAAAAAAATAAAATAAATTGGATTTCAGATACTTTGTTCCTATTTTTGTTACAAAAACTTCTTGATTTTAAGATTTTTGTTTGTCTCTTGTAAACACTCACCATCAAACTTTGCAAGTCTGCTAATATCTTCTCCAAGTGCTGAGGTAACTGATAGTGCATGGCGAACTTTAAGGTTCGTTTCCCTGGGAAATTAATTGACATGACATGAATTTTAATATGAAACAGCCCAACAGCATCTTACACAAAGCAATCAGGCGTGTACAGCACATGCAAAATCCAACACAAGAGATTTAAGAAACTCCCTTTGAATGCCATTCACGTCTCTCACACTGTCTCAGGAAAATGGACAGGGTTTTGCAGGCTCCTAAGAATTGGCATTCCACCCACGGCACATCTGTATAACAACACAGTAATCTGTTTTGCTATTTGAAAGAACAGAGGACATAATAAATGTGGTTTCATTCGAATCTACTCAGACATCATGCATGAGTTACAAAACACATTAGGAACGGGAACACAGTTGCCAAATAAAGGAGGCCAGTGTGACTCCAGAGTCTGCTATCTACATAGGAGTTTTACTTGCAAAAAAAAGTCATGGCTAATTTCACAGTAGCTGAAATTTAAATAGGAAAAGTAATACAGCTTTCTTTTCCTTGGAAAATCAAGCCAAGAATCTCATAAGTCTAAAATCAAATAACAAAACAGGAACTCAGCAGGTCACAGTAAGCTGGTCATCCTCTTCCAGGCAGGACCACACGTGCGATGGACAGATGGCTGATCTCTGGTGTTCAAGAAATGACCAGCAGTGAAGAGTCTATGACTGTCACTCACGTCTTAAGAACATGCCTTGCCAGTTTTCTCACTAAATCCAACCAAACTTTCTTCTACTGTAGTTCATTATCTGTCAGAGTTTCTATCTTTTATGAAAATGTTTTGTAGTGGGTTTATTCAAACAATGAATATTAATTAAATGTATACTGTGATACTCGGTGCTGCCCTATGAGGGTTATTGTCCTCTTGAGGGAAGCAAGTGGTAGGCAAAAAAGCAAATACCACCTTTTGTCAGCAAATGTTAAACCATGGAGTAACAGAATTTAGAGAACGGAGAAGTAGATTCCTGAGAAGGCATTTATTCTAAACGTCCTATAAATGAGCTTCACAATGATGTTAAGGTAATATGAACCCAACTCAAGGAATGACCATTGGTAAAACAGCTTTCCGCAGGCAAGTTGTGTATATAATTGAAACTACTTTGTTTAAAAGTAATCTCATTGATCAAAATGTATTAATTCCTAGGAGGGAAAGATGAGTAGAGTTTGAGGTAGTAAAGAACTTCATAGGTGAGGCAGAAATTGACCTGGCTTGATGCACAAAAGTGAGATAATGGTGCTGAGGCTAAAGGACTAACGTGTCCATTCATTTGAACAGTTTTTCAAATACTAGTAACAGTCAGTCATACCACCCAGGCCAGACAGTCCTCATTCCTTCACCCTACTCAGTACATCATGTCATTCATCAAAGTGTTTCACCATTGCAGGCTACTTCCTCAGGATTCTCCCCAATGTCTCACTTTCACCTTCCAATGAAGAAACTAAAGGGGTAAAACAGTCACATATGTGCTTCATGATTTAAAAAAAAATGAATTTTCCAAGACTCCGGATGAATACCTTCATTGTCATGCCATACTCTCCCTTAATCTGCCTCAGTATCTTGATAAACTTCAAAATAATTTTCCGCATGTGAAACAAGACAGAAAGATCTTGTGTATCCTTTACTTGGTTTCTACTAATGATAAAATCTTGTAAAACTGTATCACAATATACCAACCAAGATACCAACATTGACACAGTCAAGAAATAGAGTATTTCTATCACTAGAAGGATTCCTTGGGTTGCCCTTTGCAGCCATGCCCACTTCCCTGTCTCCTCCAACCCATCTTTTTTTTTTTTTTTATTTTCCTCCAGCCCCATCTTTAACTCCTGGAACCCTTAGTCTGCTGTCCATTTCTCTAATTTTGTCATTTCAAGAATGTTATATAAGTGGAATAATACAATATGTACTTTTGAAAGTGGTTTTTTTTACTCAACATAATTCTCGGAAGAGTCATTCAGGCTGTTGCATATATCAATAGTTCCTTCCTTTTTATTGTTCAATAGGATTATTCCATGATATGGATATGCCACAGTTTGTTCCATCATTCACATGTTGAAAGGCATATAAGTTGTTTTTAATTTGGAGATGTACAAATAAAGCTGCTATAAACATCTGTGTACAAATTTTCACATAAACATAACTCTTCATTTCTCTGAGATAAATCCCCAGAAATGAAATGGCTGGGTTCTAGGGTAGTTGCATGTCTAGTTTTTTAAGAAACTACCAAACTGTTTTCCAGAGTGATTGTAGCATCTTACATTTCCATCAGCAATGTGTGAGTGATCCTGTTTCTCTACACCCTTGCCAGCATTTGGAGTTGTCACTATTTTTTCTTTGAGCCATTCTGATAGGTATGTGGTGATATTATATTGTAGTTTTAATTTTAATTTCCCTACTGGCCAATGATGTTGAATATCTTTTCATGTGCTTATTTGCCACCAGTATGTCATCTTTGATAAAATATTTCTTCATATCATTTGCCAATTTTCTAATTAAATTACTTGGTTTTTTTACTATTGAGGTTAAGTATTTTTCACATATCCAAGATATGAGTCCTTTGTCAGATAGATGGTTTGAAAATATTTTCTCCTAGTCTGTAACTTTTTTTTTTTTAATCCTCTGAATTGGGTTATTTGCAAAGCAAAAGCTCTTAATTTGATGAAGTCCAGTTTAGCAAATTTTCACTTTATGGATCATGAATTTTGTGTCAAGTCTAAGGAGCCCTAGATCATAAAGATTTTTCTTCTATGTTTTTCTCTGAAAGTTTTATAATTTTATGTTTTGCATTTGAATTTAATTTTCCGTATAATTACAGGGCTGTTCAAATTATCTATTTAATATTGAATGAGTTGTGATAGTTTGTTTTTTCCAAAGTGGTTTGTTTTATTTATGTTGCTAAATTTATGTGCGTAGAGTTGTTTGTAGTATTCCCTTATCCTTCTGACGTCTACAGGATCTGTCTTAATATTCCCTCATTCATTCATGCTATTGTTAATTTATTTCTTCTCTCTTTTTCTTTTTCAGTCTTGTTAAAGGTTTCTCAACCTCCTTGATGTTTTCAAAGAACCAGCTTTTTGTTTCTTTGATTATCTCTATTGTTTTCCTGTTTTCAAGTTCATTCATTTCTGCTCTTGTTTTTATCTCCTTCCTTCTGCTAGCTTTAGATTTATTTTGGTTTATTTTCTATGTTCTTGAGATGGTAGTGATTTAAGACTTTTCTCTTTTCAGTTGTATGCATTTACTGCTATAAATTTTTTCTCTCAGCATGATTTTAGCTTCTGTCCAAACTAGGGTAGGACCACACAGGCCAAACTCTATTTGAATTGATCTAAGACAATAATTTGGGAGGTAGTGTTTAAAACCATAGGCTTTTTTGTCAGACTGCCAGGTTTCAGTCCTATCTCTACTCTTCAGAAGTTTGAGGCAAATTACTTCGTCTCTTTAAGACTTGATTTCTCCATTGCACAATGGAGCTTATACTTAGTACCTATCAGGATTAAATGGTAAGGTCCATCTATAAAACATATATGTTATCTTTAAAATGTAAGCATTCAATGAATGTTCTTAGGCTAGACAGACAAATTGAATCTATAAAAAAGAACTACTTTATATGAATGCTAAGGCTGCCTCATACTCCATTTCTCTTTTTTTCCCCCTCCATGTCTCCACTTGGCCCAGTCCCAAAAGATTGCTTTCTACAGCAACACCAGTCCTTCCTTCTTCAGGAGATCTGGGTTAACACTAGCTCTCATTTTCCTTGGAGAATCACTTGAAATTAAAAACAAACAAACCAACACCAAAAAGGACCCTTCTAAGGAATCTCAGTGAAGAGTCCCTCTGTGATATTTATTTACACATACATGTTTGAGTCACCGTTTCTGAAAGAAAATAAAATCAAAAGAAAAGAGAGTTTTCAGAAAATCTGCAAAGTAATTAGCCAATGGACTTTGGAATTTAGGTATTTCCTCCAAGAAAATAAAATGAAAAATAAAGATTAAGATTTAAGTCCTGTTCCTAAAGCTATTAGTCTTGAATAAATTTAAAACACAATCTTATTATTTATTCTAACTTTAGCAACTTACCCATCAAGCTCAGCAGTTTCAATGTAACAAAGACCATGTGGCTCACTACTTGATAGGAGAAGTAGATCGGCCTATTTTTAAAAATCAGGAGAAAGAGAACTTGAGAAGGAAAGATTGGTTCAAAGTCTTCCATGTTGTATCATCCCTCCACTACTAATGAGCCAGGTGTGCCTTAGGAAAAACGTGATAGAGGTGAAATCCCCTGTTTCAAACCCTCCCTCTACTTACCTGTTCCTGTTTTGCACACCCTTGACCATCAGAAGGACATAAGCAAGGGCAGGAGATATCATAAAAATAAATGACCACTTTGTTCACTTTTTTTGCATGATACATAAGATTCTCTTTTCTTGTTTGGATAATTACTAATGAAAAATATAAAACTTTCCCCAATAAATTAGATAAATGGAAATATTTATATGCACATACCCTTTGTATTATCGGTTAAGAGCAGGCAGCAGGCAAAGAAGAGGAGGAAAGGCAGAAGTGAAATAGGAGGCGGAATTTGAAAACAACAGAAAAAACAAGACAGGCAAGGAAATTTTAAAAAGAGAGAAAGGTTAAAAGAAAAACAAAATTAAAATAATTAAAAAATAAGGAAAATGTGGTGGGGTGTATAGAAGAAGAGAGAGAAAATAAAGTAGGGACTAAGCAAGAGAGAAAAATAGAATAGAAAATTTGGTAAAAGTGGAAAACATTCAGAGACTAGGTAGTTGGTCTCTCACAGAGATAAATCATTTTATACGGCTGTCCATTTGAGTTTTGGAAATAACCTATCACAATTCAGTTTCAGAATTCTGGTATCTTTCTACATTGGGAAGCTGTTTATTTTCTTTTAAGTTTCAAATTTGATATTAAAATAAGGGGTTTCATTTCCACATCTTAGCTATAGTAAATAATGTTGCAAGGAACATAAGGGTGCATATATCTTTTCAAATTAGGTAGTGTTTTTGTTTCTTTGGATAAATACTCAGAAGCAGAATTGTGGGTTCATCAATACATAAATGGATGAATAAGATGTGAAATGGGTGTGTGTGTGTGTGTGTATATATACACACCGTGGAATATTATTCAGCCATAAAAAAGAATAAAATCTTGCCATTTGTGACAATATGGATAAACCTAGTATAGTACACTAAGTGAAATAAGTCAGACAGAAAAAGACAAATACTGTATAATTTCATTTATATGTAGAATCTAAAAAGTAAATAAACAAAACAAAACAGAAACAGACTCATAGATACAGAGAATAAACTGCTGGTTGCCAGAAGGGAGGGTTGTGGGGAGATGGATGAAAAGGTGAAAGAAAGAAGCACAAACTTCTAGTTATAAAATAAATAAGTCACAAGGATATAATATACAGCACAGGGATTATAGTCAGTAATACCTTAATAATCTTTGCAGTGACAAATGGTTACCAGACATATCATGATGACCACGTCATAAGGTATATAAATGTAGAATCACTATGTAATACACCAGAAACTAATATAATACTGTACATCAACTATAATTTAATAAGAAATAAATAATAATGAATAAAATAAGGGTTTCTTTTTTTAAAATTCTGAAGGTTTTGAATATCTGAAAAGAACTGACTAAAATTTTAGCAATTTATTTTGACACAGCCTAACAATTTTCTAACTACATCTGCATGTACAATCAGTATTTAAAATCTGTGAAATTTTCTTACCTTTGTTTTTAAAAATATTAGAATTGCGCCATTCTCAAGTCCTAAAACTTAAATTTAGAATCAGTCCAGTCTTTTCATTGTCTCAAACTTTTAAATTTCCCACTCAGAAATAGACGGTGTATGTCTGTGTGTGTGTGTGTTGTCTCAATTGTGATAAAACAGAGTTTTGAAAGAAAAGCATCTCTAGGTATAAACAAGCATCTTTCTCTATACTTCATAATTATTTTCAATCACAAATGATAAGAATTAAAGAATTCTGGATTTTGTTTAAAGTGATCCTTTTAAGCTTGGGGAATGAGAGGCATAGGCCCAAAGAGCATGAAGTTCCGTTACTATCATGTTAATTGAAATTAAAAATAAGAAATAAGACCAAGGTGAATTTTCAGAAACACTGTTTTCTCTTTAAAATCAAGATGGGTAATTTTGACTCAAGAGTGGTATACACTCTTCACATGTTCTCTCTATAGTGGGTATGCTTAGTTTACATGGTGACAAGTCAGAAAATAAACTTCTCCCAAAATGGGCTTCTATGACTCATCCATAGGTGAAGAAGAGCCTTAATAATGCAAACCCATTTATTCCTCAGGGCAGTGATAATTATTGGAACTCACAGCAGGGGCAGGCAAATAGTCATTAATTTTAACCAAAATCATGTTCCTTATACCCCCATTTGTACTTTCTTCTCTCAATTATCAGTGCCTTATCTGGTGTAACCAGATAAGGAAACATGTTGATATGGACAAAAATCAGAATAAAGTCATGAAAATGTGTGAGATTATAGGCTTTACTTTTATTTAAAATTTAAATTTTATATCCAAAAAAAGTATGTTGTGCAATAAGTATGAAATATATTATCATTTTTGTTTTCTATAATTAAACTGATTTGAGAAGATTAACAAAAAGATGATTAAAAGAAAAGAAAGGAGGAGAATAGTAATGAACCTCATATCATTTACTCATGGATAGACCCTTTCTTTGTTTAATATAAAATCTTTGCCCATGTATTTCACCACCACAATTAGTAATTGGCCATAAACAGAACATTGGTCATTTATGTTTTTTCGTGTAGAAGAAGCAAGAAGCTTCTTCTTCATACAATTCAGATAAATGTTTAAAAAATCTTCTTTCTCTGAAAATTTTCAACTTTCTATTGTCTTGCCTATTTTTTTAAAGGAGGTTTACAGAAATTAGAGTGAAACAAGTAACTCTGATTTGAAACTATAAAAACTTCAAATAATGTGAGAACAATTAGACCCAAAGTGGCCTCTCAAGAAGGATGTCCAAGGAAGCTGCAAAAAAGACTAGACGAGATGCTCTGATGCTCCAAAGAGAGCCAAAGCCTACCCTTGCCAGGGCTGGAGCTTAGGTCAAAATAATCTAGCAGGGATGTCCAACTTGTGTCCCATAGGCCACGTGCAGCCCAGAATGGCTATGAATGCAGCCTAACACAAAATCGTAAATTTACTTAAGACACTATGAGATTTTTTTGTGTGATTACACGTCACAATGTATTTAATATGTGGCCCAAGACAGCTCTTCTTCTTCCAGGGTGGCCCAGAGACAGCTCTATAGCCCTTTCATTTAATATGCAAAGCAAAATGCTCATAAATAGGATTTTAATGATTCAAAGCAATCAATAGGAATTTTCTGATTGTGATAATTCAGAAGGGAGCAAACATTTTCTCTTCCTCTGCTTATCTTTTCCTCAAATATGTGCAAATTAGGAGTATTATTTCCATTATTGAGGTATAGTATTCAAATTATGGAAGGACAAATTGTTTTTAAAGTACTCTGGAGCATTTTAAAAGCTCTTATTTACATCAGATGATTGTAAATCTTTTGTATCTATTAATTTAATACATCCCAGAGGAGATAGATTCAGTGAAGATCACTTCTCTAGGTTACCATGTTATTGAAACTAATTAATCAATATGTCTTTTAAAACATTTTATCATTGAGACTTCTTATAAATACATCTTGGCAGTCCCTCTTTAATTACCTCTGGTTTAGTATAGATGTACTAAATTTGCAAATGTAAACACTGCAGTACATATGATATTTTAATCTGAGATATATAATTTAAACAATGTTCTATACTCACAGTAATAAATTGGTTATTTTCTAATTTAATGATGTCTCCCACTTTAACATTCATCCATTTTTCTTTCTGCAGGCTGTGAACAAAAACAAAATTAATTTTTTTCAGGAACAGAGAAGAGTTGAGGGAATGAATGTATTTACAATGGAGCATCATATGACAAAAGCAGCAGACAAGGCTCTTCTAGGATGCTCATTTCAAAGGACCTTACATAACAAAATCTTTTACCTGAGTGGTGGGGAGTCAAAGGCCCAGAGAACTCAACTGGTTTTCCCAAGGATACCCAGGGAGTTCATGGTATCCCTGGGGCTAAACTCAGGATGGTTGGGTGCCCTTTTCACCATCCCATGGTACCAACTTTTTATAGCAGCTCTTAGCTCTTGCTTGCTTTTCCTTGGCCAGAACATTAAGAAAGGCAGGACGGATAGATTCAGTCACTGACATTGTTTTCAAACTCTATTATTAATAAATGTTGAAATACCACCGCCCTTGTCTCAGAAGTCTGCAGAACTGAAGGCAAGCACTGAATGAGGAGACTGGGGCAAGGACAGAGGGGGTCCCAGCAACAGCTAAAATGCAAGTAAGAAGAAATGCAAGAGAATAAATTTTGGGAAGGACAAGAACAACATGGGTGATAAAAGAAGGCTCAGAAGACTGAACGAGAAAGACCACCTACAAGTCGTCCACAACCCTGTGGCCAAGGACAGAATTGGTGCCATTCTAATGGCTTGGGCCGACAGCTCAGAACTGAGAACAACAGAGCCAAGTTGCTGGACTGCTTTCTCTGAGGCTCCTGTATATAGTGGAGCCCTTAACTATCCTTCATCAAGTTCAAAGGAGTTTATGACCAAAAGCTATGGTATCTAGTTGGTTGGGCCCCTAGTGACCATTTCAGCAGCAGGCCTCCTGAGAACAGACCACGTGTGGCAGTATACCACGATGCTAATCATTCCTTTTGAAATTCTCTGAAGCCTCCTAAAGCAGCTTTGTTTTTCCAAGTTGGAAGCCTTCACCACACTTTTTTCTCAGTGATTCCCTTTTGGGAGAGAAGGCTAGGATGAGGGGGCAGGTTCCCCAGCAAGTTAAGGTGGGCAGGTTAATTTCATTATGCAGTTTTTAAAAACAACCTAATTTACTTGTTTTATAGGCTGGAAAACAGTTTTAAATATTTATACAACTGCGAAATATGCCTCACACTATCAACCCTGTTGGGTCATTTGGCTTAAACACTCAAAGAATTTTTCTTTAATATGGATCCAAGTACATGTTGTTCTGGAAAGTATTCAACTGCAGCATTTTCATCTCCAGCCAGAATTCAATCATTTTCCCAAAGCCATACTTCTCTGCACTTTATCTAGTTCAACGACAACAGGAGAACCTAACAAGCCCTCTAAAACTCATTTTATTTCTCCTGGGGGTACCTCCTTTTGAGCATCAGAGATTTCTTAGGGAACAGTATCTCAGGTAAAAGTTGATGGGAACAGAGCAATATGGAGACCTTGTCTTTATTTATGGAAATTGCGCTGCTACCGAATTGTCTGGAAGTCTCTATTGAAAGTGCATCTGTTTACAATAATATTGTAATAATTAACTATGGTGCCAGGGGTACTGGAAATATCCTGGGGAACACTTTGTAAAGTATTCTGATTGTCTAACCATTTCACTGTACACGTGAAACTAATACAACATAATATTGACTATAAACTGTAATTGAAATTTTTTTTAAAAAAGAAAGTGCATCTGTTTCAAGAAGAAGCTGAAATGATATGTTTCATTTTCAAATTCTTATTCCTCCTACCTGTACATTATAAGCTCTAGGAGGGACCACACCTTACCTCTCCCATCCAGATGGAAAATCAACCACAGAGAAAAGGGAACATCACAGAAGTTCTTACATATTTTTTAATACTTGTTTATTCCATTAGAGTTGTTCAATTGTTCCCTCTTTGCCCTCCTCTGTCCAGCCCACCCCTAGCTCCCACAGTCAATCCCTACACCGTTGTCCATGGGTCATTTACACATGTTCATTTATATTAGTCCCTTCCCTTCCTTTCTACTATTGTCCTCTTCTCCCTTTCTCTCTGGCAGCTGTCAGTCCGCTCCATGTTTTGATAGTTAAGTTTACACAGATAAGTGACAACAGCCATTTTTGAGGGGAAAAAACCAAAACCTGAATTTTCTTACTTAAATTCTAACTTTTCTCCAGTTCAATATCATAATAGTTTCCTCAATAAAACTAAAGCATTTGAAAAGATGTTTTTAAAGGTGTGATATCAAAGGGAATTACTTGAATTAACTGCTACATTTGGAAAAAAAAATACTAGAACAAAAATCTCCTTAAGAAAAATATTGGCAAAACCCCAGAGCATGTAAAGAATCCCTAATACAGAACCATCTGATATGACTATAAACATGATGTCCTAGAGGGACCATGCACACGAGTGATCAAGCAGAACAAACCCTCATGCCCATTCCCTTCCTACCCACCTACGCCCTTCTTGTATTTTAACCTCTACTTTCCAACTTATTAAATATTTCCAAAAGCAGAAAAACACTCAGAATACTTCATTTGCTTTGCTAAGATCTCACCATTAATCTGCTCATGTCATTCAATAGTCCAAAAAAGCAGAAAGTACTTGTAATACTATGAATCATTTACTTTATATCAGTCTAGTCCTCTTTCTTTTTCTCTCTCGCCACCCTCAACTCAGAACATACACTTTTCAGTCTCTCCAAGCTCCTCTTCCCAAAAGGCCATTTCATTATTCAAGACATCTTGCAACACCTACTCTGTCTTTGGTCACCTAGCCAGTGGTCACCCAACAAAACATTCTCACCTATAGAGTATTCCAAATATTTTGCTTCCAAAGTCTTATGACTAACAATACTTGAGATCTAAAATTTTTTCTGGTATGTACAAATTCCATGGAACACACTTTCACCTCTGTGGCCTATGGGCTGTGAAAAACCTTCACCAGACAACAATGCAGACTGACACAAAATTTTTCTGAGCTTTCAACAAAATGTTGTGAAGGTACACAATCACAAGAGAAATTTTGTCCAAAGAAATATTACCCAAAACTAACTAACAATCTGTCAAGAAACAGCAAACAGTATTCCCTAGATGTTGATACCCATCCCAGTGCTGTTTAACTATCTCATCATTAACCTATACAATGGACACACAGACACATTGGTTAGACTGTGGACAGCATCCTAGCGAGAAGAGAACATAACTCTTACAAAGGAAGATTATGATTGGAAGGTTATCAGAAACTGAATGAAGACTAAGAGAGAACAAAATAGATTACTTTGGAGAGAAGAAAATAACCCTGTACATATTTAATTAGAATTTTGAAGAAAAAAGGCCTAGATATATTGGTAAGTGATAGAGGTATGTGATACCTTGTTTGAACCCCTTATTTGAATATATACCTGTAGGACAATCAATGTACATAGTACAGTCAAAGGAGAGTATTATTTTAGTGTTATGTCCTATTCTGTCTTACCAGGTAGATATAACTGTACTTAACTAGGACTTCAAAAATATATTTCAAGCCCTTGCTGGATAGTTCAGTTGGTTAGAGCCTTGTCCCAATAGGCCAAAGTTGTGGGTTCAATCCCTGGTCAGCACACATACAAAAATCAACTAATGAATACATAAATAAGTGGAACAACAAATGAATGCTTCTCTTCTCTGTCTCTCTCTTCCTAAAAAAGTCAATAAAAGAGATATCTATTTCAATGAGCACTAACAGTCATAGCAAACTTACTGAAACATGTACACTGGTTAAGACCGGCAAATGCATTTAAATCCTCTATATTTTAAATTCCACCATTTTCCTTGTCCTACCAACGACTACCACTGACAACACACAAAAGACATACGAGCAAGGATGGAGGGCAGTTAGGAAGATTTGTTTTAAAGCTCATCTTCAAACTATTTCTAGATGCCTTCTAATATTTTAGCTTGTATAGTGACTGCACTTTGTCATCGTCCTAAGAAAATGAAAACGGATACTCCCAGCTCTCCGTGTGCGGTGCGGCTGTTCTCAAGGCTCATGTTTGAAGCAGGTTGATATTGCAGCTCTGCGAGGGGGACACGGGATGGCCTCATGGACGGGGACAACGATGCTTAGCCCCACACACTTGGCACAAGCTTTGCTTTTACTTTTTTGGGGAAAAGCCCTTCTGCTCTCATGAAAGAACTGCAATACGTGACTATTCTGAAAGCAAGTTTATTCATTTAATTGCACTGAATCAAGAAATTCCAAGACTTTAAAATATGCATATTTTATTTCTGGTTTTGAAATGGACATAATCTAGTTAATCCTTCTTTGAACCAGTTTTTTCAAGAACAAATTAGGTTTAAGATAGCCTTTACCTTAGTGAAATCACAAACTAATCACTAAAGAAGCCAAAAATAAAAAAAAAAAAAGAACTCATAAAACTTGAATTCCAAAGGCACCATAAAACATATGGAGTTTTAACTGCCACAGAATAGTGACAAGAATTACTTAAAGGAATGGATTTTTTTTAAATATACTCATTAGCTATAGGCATAGCTCAGAGATATTGCAGGTTCAGTTCCAGCGCACAGCCCTGAAGCAAGTATTGCAATAAAACAAATTGTACTTTTTGGCTGGTGGAGGGTCTTGCCTTCAATTTGTAAAAATGTAATATCTGTGAAGCCCAATAAAATGAGGCACAACTGTACAATGTCTACTCTCAGAACATCAGAGAACCTGAGTTCTGAGAAAAGGTGGCAAGACAGGGTGAGTGCATCTAACATTTGTGGATAAATTGGTTTGAACCTGCTTCTTCCTGAGGCAATGTCACATTCCACGAGCTGCAAGACTTTGCTGAGAAACTTCTTGAGAAAATGCAAGTCTGAGAGAGAGGTGGCACCTACCATGCCCCTGTCGCTGAACTATTGGACACAGAGGTTACAAATCAAGTATTCACCTTGAACAAGACACCAAGTCCCTTGCTGAAGCCTTAAGGAACACAAGGAGGAGTTCTTCCGTGGGCTCCTCAAGGCTGCGTTCATCTTTTCCATATTCTAATGCTCCTGGC